ATGAAACTCGTTGCTGAGCTTTCATCCATCATTCGATGGACATCATCAGCACATTTTCACCCGAAACGAGGAAGCAAGTCTTGTGGACTGCGTCAACATGAATATGGCATGAAAGCCAAACGGCTGCAGTACAACGAGATTCATCCGTCCTCATCCGGTGAGATCGACCAACGAATCTCTTCTTCATTCACTTTCATCTGAAATGAAGGTCCCCTTACAATGTTATGTCAGGAGATTCATCGAAACCAAGTTTCTCTTCGTATCTACTATGCTTTTACTTGTGTTAACTCACACAAAAAGCCGTTTGAGAATAAATATGTTTTATTAATGGATCAATATGTAAGTCTCATGATCGACTCTGCTTTCAAGTAAATTCTGATTTTTTATATACCAATAATAAGATATTAGGCAAAGGAGGCTGGTATTCAGCCTAAGAAGTTCGTTTATTTTGCCCATTTTCTCTTTTCCATTTATCACAAATTGTTGTTTCCAGCTTTCAAGATTTCCACTGGACTCTGAGCCACAACTCTATAGTCTGCAGCATTTTTCACTTTGACTACATTTTTCGCTACATTTCTTCCATCTACTCTCATCCACGGAAGTGCGTGTTCTGTCCTCCCTTTTTCCAACTTTTCCTTTATTCCCTCTTAAACCCGTCCTCTTGTGTCCTCTTCGGACGACTTTGTCCATCCGTTGTCGTGCAGTCGTGAAATTCGTCCCCTGCTCACTCCAATTGTGGCCGAGCCTGGACAGTCAACCCCTTCGACTGGCCCAGAGACCCCATCCAGCACCGCAACCTTTTCATCTTCTCCAGCCGGCCTCTCAACATCAGCCTCTGTTGCATTCTACTACACTTCTACTCACTCATCTTCTGCAGCCACGATGTCCACTTTAATGATGAGTATATTTCAACGTGGACCGGCCTGTTTGATCTGGCCCAGCCTGGCCGCCTGCCTTGTTCAGCTCGCGGCCTATGCGGTGCACACTGCGGAGTCAAAGTCACCTCCGCTCCCTTCACTTTTGGCCGATCTTGCCACCGACGACGGCGGTAGAACGGGCGATCGAGCCACAGATGAGGCCGTCAGACTCGTGGACAATAGTCTATTCACTTGGCATGTGGCCTCAGACCGATTTATTATTGAGGTGATTTTGCTTCCAAATTATCGTTCTCTATTCCGTATTGTTAGGGCGACTTTCATTTCGTATGACAGTACGTGACGATGAAATTCATTGTGTTGGTTCGACCTGGTTTTTGCAACTTGGTCGGAGCGTCAGAGAGACATTGTGGAACGTACCAAATCCCGTGTCTTCTGACAGAGTATTCGTGATTTTCAGCATTGGACAATTGGCTGGGAACATTCCCAAGCGTTTCGCCTGCATCGTCAATGAAGGGCGCCATCTTAGACACAGAGTTGCAAAGTATCAAAGTGACAAGTGAATGCAATCTATGTGGCATCACCCCTCAATCCTATTTTTTGTTGTACCTTCTTTCTCTCAACCCCACTTCATATGGGCCATCCATTTTTTCACACAATTCAGTGTCCTCGATTCCTCCAATGTCGCCAAATGTTGTATTGATACGAGTGGGTTTATGAAAGCGTAATCACCTCAACCACAGGTACAAGGTGCCGTTTGCAAAGATCCTGACTCACATTTTGCACCCTTTTTTTCCCTACCCGCCATTCATTTGGCCTCTGCTAAATATTAAAATCACTCTTTGGCTGTCTGAAATCTGGCAGCCTAAGAGCGTTACATTCCCGTCCTCGAATATGCTATATTCGAGGATTTAGAGCCTATGATGCCCATGTCCATGCCCACGCACATGCCAGTGCCTGGGAATCTTCTTCTCGACAGGCTTCAGACTCACAACTCGATTATCCTCTTCCTCATCCCCACCCACAGTGTGTCTCATTCTCTGGGGACATCTGTCTGGCTTATGTCATAACCGCTGGTGTGAGAATGCACCGCTTCCTTTTTTCCCTTGAATCGCGAAAAACACACTGATCTCTCAAGTTGACATTCGCATCTAACCCTAGGGTATGGGGATGATGTCCATGTGAGTGTGTTGGTTGGTATCCCCTGTGGTCAAGCTTGTCACCATTCACCTCCCCCTTCAGACACAAATACGAAAAATACACACAACACCATCGCACACACACACTGGGGACCTCTGTCTAGCCCACCTTTACCCGTAGCCTCTAATTTCATATCCTACATCTCACAGGACAACCCGCTGGTTAACTTTTCTGCCCAATTCCACGTCTGACTCCTCCCACTGCAATCGTCTTTCCTTAAATTCCCTTTGTTCCTCATAAGCCACGTCTTGGTGATGTCTCTTCCTGTTGTTGAACAGTTGTCCTGGATCCGGGCGTCTTCTTTTCGATGTCTCCGTTGAAGCTCCCAGTCTGCTCAGGCAGTACGCAAAATGATTGCCGACAATTCCCTCTTCTAATCTCCGGTTCACCGGGTTCCTTTCAAGGAGGATGCCCACAGCCTCCATGATCCTCACTATCTGGCTTGTCTTTCCGTTGCACTCGAGTCGATTGTGCAACCGGTAGAAGCGATGTGTTCAGGTGTCTCCGATCTCTTCGCATCCATTTTTCTGCATAGTCGCTGGTGTTCTTTGATTCTTTTGTTGATTCTCTTCCTCGTCTCTCCAATGTATTTTGGTTTACAGTCCTTGCAGTTTGGGCTGTCAACTCCGGAGCATTCCATTTTATTGACTTCTTCATGTTGTGTGGGCATGCTGGCGAAGAGAGTTGTCCTTTCCTTAGGGTTTTACGAATGTTCTATTTCCCCAGTATCAGCATTAACTTTGAGCCAATTCGCTACTCTTGCTTTTTCTCCATAAGCTCCGCCCTTCCATCTATTCATCACCATCCGTATATTGTGTTGCATTGATTCTTCTGGATATCCGTTTCTAAGAAACATCTGAGTTAGTTTTCCAAGTTCCTCTTCCCTGAACTCAGAATCAATTAGTCATAAGCTTCTTATGATCATACTCCGGAGTACTACAATCTTCAGCCCATAAGTATGCCTCGACTGGAAGTTAAGAGTTATTCCAGCATGCGATTTATTTTGGAAAAGTTTTTTCTTGACAGTTTCCTCAGAGGGCATGACCTCCACATTCAGGGACGGTAAGTGTCCGTTTTCTTCCACATTGATGATAAGTTTAACTTTTTCCTCCATTTCGTTTATGAAGATCAGGAAATCGTCTAATTTTTCTCTTCCACTCCACCGAATTGGGAAGTAGTCATCCAAATATGACATAACTACTGTTGGCTACTGAGGTGACATTGTGAAATTCTCCCCCAGCTTGTCCATGAAGACATTAGCCAGCTGAGGTAAGAGTGATGAGTCCATATGCAGACTAAATATTTTCTCATAGATGCGGACGCTGGACGTAAATTAGGCCGTTCTTATTGATAGGTTGATTAATCGGGTTAGAGATTCTCTAGACATTCGCTCTATCTACAGGATAGCATTTTCTTCTTCCAAGATCTCTACTAGTGCGCTGAGTGCTTTTTCTCCTGTGATGCTATTGTACATGGACTGTGCATCATAGTTCACCAAAAGTTCGTTTCCTTTCAATGTTGCGCCTTTGATTCTTTGAAGAAAATTTATATAAGTTATTCACTGTATTCGATAATCTCATTTTCTTTCTTTACTTTGAGGCAGATACAATTCGCCAGTTGTGTGTTGCTCCGTGTTTGTTGTTGAATATGAATCTAAATGGTTATCCTTCTTTCTGTACCTTGGGCAAACCGTATGATACTGGGGATCGCATCCTTTCGTATGAGTGAGTTTATTGTCCATTTGTCGATTTCCCCGTTATATTTATTTTCTTACGTACTTTTTCCTATGCCTCTTTAACTGCTGTTGGGTCCTTTTAACTGTTGGTTCCTTTAACTGTTAGGGCCTTTGTTAGCCGTCGATAAGTTTTAGTGTCCCCGAGAATATTTTTTTCATTATCTCTGTATATACCTTCCTATCAATCACCATTGTGGCACCTCATTTATCGGCTTGTAGTGC